CACCAAGTCGAGGGTTAAGATCCCCTTACCGGTCATCTTTAAAAAAAAAAAAAAAAAAAAGTTCTAAATTTGTATTGTACAATATAATAAACATCAACCAAACATAGGTTGCTACTGAGCACGTGAAATGTGGCTAGAGTGACTGAGAAAATGAATTTTCCTTTTTTTAAAATATTAAATTAAATAGCCACATGTGCTAGTGGCTACTGTATTGGACAGTGCCGCTCTAGAGCATTTTACCCTCCACACAATGACAGCAAGTGGCTGTGCCTCCAGCTCAGGTCCTAATGTGAAAATGGCACGGGACATTAGTACTGCAATGATATGTGAGAGGCAAAGATTCTTTCTAATTGAGAGGATTAAGAAAGGCTACTCTGAGTAGACAGAATTTGAGCAGGCAGCTTGGGAAATAAGCCTTGGTTGTTTTAAGTCACGGAGTTTTTACCACAGTGAAACCTATCCTAACCTGAAAGATGCACCAGTTGCAATTTCTGCTTAGTGTGTGAGAGGACGTGTTACCTACACTGTTGTTTTTAAATTAAACCTTTTAATTTACTATCTTAGTATTCCTTTGATAATATTTTTACAACTCAGGCACTACCCTAGGAGCTAAGGATATTAGTGAACAAGATATACAAGGTTCCCACCATCTTAGAGCTTACAAGTCTAACGAAGGAATGGAGGCAATTTAAATAAAGTGTGGTAAGCCTCTTTCTCACTGATACAAAAATGTCACCTTTATCACATGACAAATTCCTCTACTTATTTGGGAACTATTTCCTGACTCTCTTATGTTGTATCTCTGTTTATTTTAGCATGAGCATCACTTCTTTAATTACTGTAGCTTTATAAAACTTTTTAAACATCTGGCCAGAAGGATTCCTCCTCATCATTCTTTCACAGAATTTTCCTGGCTATGGTTAAACATGTATCCTCAAGGATGAACTTTAGATTCATTTTGATATGTTCTAAAATAGATCATACTGAGATTGTGTAGAATTTACAGATTTTCTAATTCATTTCTGCTTTCTACTTTCCTCAGGGCTTCATTTTCAATTTGAGTTGAATACTCAATTTAATTTCAAAAAAGTTAAATAATGAACAT